ACAGAGATATATATATTTCGTCGACCGACACGACGGGATGTGTTTGGTACAATTTGGCACGAGTGACGACTCCGAAGGTAGACATAAACGTTGCATTACGTTTCTACCGCGATATTTTCTTTTAAATCATATTTGTACAATAATTTTTCATCATTTTTAAAAGCACGAAGCATTTTAATTATACGACAAAATATCACGATATTAAATATTTAATTATACGACAAACATAAAATTTAATTCAATTATTTTCCCTACAAGAACAGATCAAAAATAGATCAAAGCTAAAAGCGTAATTTAATATATTACGTATTTTAATAACGTTTTGAATACATAGTTATTATTAAAATTTGGAAAATATCGTGCACAATTTTATTGTTTAAAACGTCTGTAGAAATAATAATATCAATGAAAATATTGTGAAATAAATTATCATATATAATAATAAGATTTGATTTTTCCATTTCGAAAGAATTCAATTATTATGCATTTATCTGTTTGCGTCTATGTATTTTCTCATATATGACTATACAGGGGCCTATTTTTGTGCAAGAGAAATGTTTAAACGTATGTATATATATCTTAATAAATATAAAATATATGTATATATTCATCTCTCTTTCAAAAAAAGCAAATACAAAAAAATATTCTAAAATTAAAAATACAACTCTCTCACTTTCACTCGAAAATATTTAACAATTATTATTCCAATAAGAGATATACAACTGTAAGATATTTACAAGATATATTTTCCCAAAAAAGTATTTTTTAAGGGTGTAGTAGAAACACATATACATACATGTGTATATTTATATGTATATGTATATTAATAGGAAAGTGATAGAGTTAAAAGAAAACTTAACGGCGTTGATAAAGCAATCGACGCGTAATATGTTAACTGCCACAACACACGGTAATTTATAGACTTTATAGAAGGATGTATGTATTGTATATATATATATTTTATTGCCGGGTATCATAAAAAAGTTAAAACTATGATGCATAATACGCGAGAATTGTCGATGTCTTACAACTAAAAATAGAAATTGGAGAATTATATGGCTAATAAAAATTCTATCAAATATCGATATTATAATTTATTTAAATAAAAAAAAAATGTTTGTCTTTATCTTTTGCGATATTTTTAACTCAGCTCTGTCAAACATCTTATCTGTGCGCAAGATTATGTTAATAATTTGTTGGAGTTTTGACTTCTCTCATTTTTTTCTTTCATTAGAATGCTATCTGCTACCATTATCGAATCGAACGTCACTCAATCGAGCCAGTTGCAAAGACCAGTTAGGGAAAACAGATAGAATCAACATGATGGTGAATTTATGTTCGACAAACAACGCTAACCCCTATTGTCGGTCGCCGGAATAAAAAAAAAATAACCCGAAAGCCGAACGTTCTGTTCGACGTCGATGGCTCTTTTTTTACCCGAGATCGATCAAAAATCCACCTGACTGCCGATCAGCACGCGATCGATCGATCGATATCGAATAGAGCGTTTATCGGGCAGCGTAATACAATAAGTTAAAAATGTTATCCAAAGTGTTAAAGAAGAAAAACCAGCAAAGGCGATGGAAATAGTGACATACACGCTTACAAATACACGTGGTTACATCCACACAAATAGGTATATACACACACATACACACATACACGTACAAGATGTTAATAAATTGGAGAATAAATGTTACGAGTATATTTCAAAATTTCTATTGTCCCTTTAAACCATCCTGTCGATATCATTCAACGATGAATGAGAAACAAAAATTTCACTACTTGATCAATTTTCAAAAATAAAACCTTGTAATATTTTTAGTTAATTATTTAATAAATTAATATCGTGTGCGCCATATCATTATTATTTTTAAAATGTCACGTTATATGTAAATTAGCATAAACAATATTATAAATATCTAAATGTTTTATTCAATATCCTAGCAAAGATATTTATTGATATACAGCGAAATAAATGCGATGTCTTGTATTTCGCGAAACATTCAAGATTGTTTCGTCACAAGAAACGTGGATTCAAAATTTCCTAATTTCTACAATTCTAATTTTTCCGTTACAATCTATAATCTATAATCTACAATCCAAACAATCTCTAAATCTACATTTTTACATTCTCATTTTTACAAATGTTAGTAATAAAATAAATTTTATCAAGCACTCACTAATTGATGAGCAACGAGCAACGGCGGAATTGACTGCGAGATATTTTGATCTGTAACATATAAATAATAAAAATTATAACACTATGATAATTAATTTTTTAAATAATAATTATTATAATTAGATTTTGTTTTTTCCATTCGTGCAATAATAAAAGATATAATTAAATAATTTTATATAGTTTGATTTACTACGACTAAGAAATTTTATTTAATTTATTGCAATTAATAAATAAATAATAAATACTCACTCTTAGGATGCTTTGCCGGCGCCCGATGCTTTTCCCAAGCCTCCTCCTTCTCTCTAATTTTGCCGGTATCGTCAACTATGTTAATCTATAACACATAAATACATAATAAAAATTATTTTAGCGTTCAAGATAACTATTTTTTCAAACAATAATTATTGTATTAAATTCTAATTTTTTGCATACGTACAATAATAAAAAAAATCTAATTAAATAATTTTATAAAGTTTAATTTAATAAATTTAATTTTAATTTAATGCTATTATAAATAAATAATAAATACTCACTCTTATAGAATTGCTTCGCCTAAGCCCCAAATGCCCAGACCTTTTTCTCCTCTTTTAATTTGTTATCGTCAGCTACATTGATCTGTAATATATAAATACAATAAAAATTATAGTAGAGCGCCCGACATAATTTTTCAAACGATTATTATTATATTAGATTTTATTTCCATATCTACAATAATAAGAAAATTATTAAATAATTAAATATAAATAATTAAATATAAATTAAATACAACTACAATTAAATTTGAATTTAATACACATAATAAATAAGTAATAAATACTTACTCTAGGATCTTAGTGACGTTCAATGCCTTTAATTCTCTCTTTCTTAATATCGGTGTCATCAATTATATATGTTGACCTGTGACATACAAAGTAAATTGTAACAATGCTCAAATAATTTAATATTTTAGAAAATCATTATTGTACGCAGTGAATTTTATATTTGATTTGTACAATAATAAAATAAATATATAATTAAATAATTTTATAAATTAAATAAATTTTTTTTAATTTAAAATCTTTATAAGATTTTTATAAAAAAATATTTTCCAAATTTTTTATATATATAAATTATTTAAATAAACAAATTAAATTATTTCTCGTATTAAAATTTTCCGTTTATTGAATTTGTACAAATTATAATAAATAAAAATAATAGAAGGAGAGCTCCGTTTTCTCTGAAACTTTACAAAATTGTATTTGTGTGTGGAAAACACGAATCTGTAAATTAAAAAATTGTCGCTCTCAAGTAGTAAAAAAGTGGGTGGTTACAGTGGGCCCATCCCCCAACGTAGGTAAACCGGATTTTACTTTAAAGAAAACTAATCTTTACGTCAGGAACTGTCCTCGTAGAAGACGCTTCGAAACACTTGCACTCGAATTACTTTCTTTCGTTCGCGACCCGCGAGAGATAACGCCCGGATTTTATAACCATCACACTCTACAAAGAGCAACAATACAAGTTGAAATCTAACGGTAACAAAATAGCGGCACGACCCTTGTCGTAGTCGAGCTGATTTTTACGAAGAATACGAGCCTATAATTCGTCGCGTATCTACACTTCAACACGATGATGCATGCGGAAGTATGACCGGAAACTCGCAATCTCCCGCTTAGAATACGATCGATAACGCCAAAAAACTCCGGAAATTTTTACGTCGAAAGATACCCGACATCCACCCTCTTACACTCGCGCGCGAGAACTATCAGGGGGCCTAGTCATGGAGCTGTGACGTCACGCCAAGAATGCGAGGAACGAGGGAAGAGCGAGGTTCGCAGCCGACAAGTTCTCTCTTCGTATCTCGCGCGTAAGATCAGATTTATATGATAATTATCCGCATAGAGACAATATTAATTAATACTCACAGTAATGTAGTTTCGTCGTGGAAGGTGGGGAAAAGCGCGAAAGTTGGTTGCGAACAACTCCGCTAGATGGCGACACGTGTCCACTGGAATATATTTATATATGGGATCGCACTGATAGATTCACCAAAATGAATAGAAAAATTTGACCAATTAATCAGAGACGAAGGATCCCCTTTGGCCTGATTGATCAGTCAGATAAAGCGAGAAATATTTTTTTTTTTTTTGACAGCTGCGATAATAAAAAATATTTAAAAACCGACATAAAAATGTGACATAACGAACGTACAGGGCGATCGTAAAATTATGAATCAATTTAATTATTGCCGCTATTAATTAATTATATCCTTATAATTACTTAGAATTCTGAAGTTTTATTTCGTAAATTAAAAGTTTAACAAGGCTCTGTAATATAAATATAAATTTAAAGATATAAGACAGGCAAACTAAATTTTTTGTTAGGATTAAGTATCTGTGCACAAGGCACCAAATTTTACTTGGTCACGGCCAATTAAATCTCAAATATGAGATTATTTCATATTTTAAAATCTTGGCCGTGACCAAGTAAAATTTGGTGCCTTGTGCACAGATACTTAATCCTAACGAAAAATTTAGTTTCGTTAGGATAACGCACTGTCATCCGCGAGTTGGCTCTTATTGCCTGTCTTATATCTTTAAATTTATATTTATTTCGTAACTTTACAACGCGATGTAACGTTAAATTATATGATTTTAATTTGCAACATTTAGTTCATATATTATTCACACCTTATTAATCATATATTATATATATATATATATATATATATATATATATATAATCATATATTATTAATTTTCAAGGTATAAGGTCGTGAGGTCACAAGCTGTAAATATTTGTAGCTGGTCTTATCGTAAGCTGTAATAATAACAAGGCTCTATATAAGTAATATGTAATATGTACATTTTCAATCGAGTCAGTATGCGACAGTAATCGCGGATCTCTTGGCGAGAGTATAAATTCAATAATTGTGTAATATTTACCGTACCTGATACAACATTATTATGGATTACAAAAAGTTCTTTTCTAAAATCACCAATAGACGAAATTATAATTTAATCAGGCAATTGAGTAAGTTGTCATTGCATTAATTATTTTCTATGTGTTTTCTATGTGTTTTCTATGTGTTGCTATCTTCCCCTATTAAAAGTCTAAACGAAAACATATAAAAATGTTCCCTTTTTATTTTAAACTTTTATAATGCAAAAGTAAGATGATAGACGTAAATAAAAGAATGTTTTTTTTTAAATTAATAATTGTACTTTCTCATATTTTAATAAAAATTTAAAAAATTGAAACTTAATATATTTACATCATTTTAAATAAATACATATTGTTGTGATATAAGTAGAAAACGTTCTCTTAAAAATGTTTTCTGGCATTTAATATGCTTTATAATTATATATTTAAATTTTTCGGAAAAATATACTTTTTATAATAATAAAATTATATAAATAAAAATAGAAATAAATGTTTTATATTATTATTTCTATAAGTTTCAAAATTTTACGAAAACAAAAATATACAATTTCAATCCAAAAATTATTTTGATATGCTTTCTTGTCAGTAAGTTAAATTAACAAGTTTTTAATAATTTTACAAAATAGAAATTTTATATTATAAGTAAATGTACAATTATGAAATACTTTCTTTTCGAAAGAATAATTTCATGTTATAATCATTTTTTATTTTGGATAGATAAAAACACATTTAAAATAATCTAATCTCTTACGAGTTAAAAAACGATCTCATGACATTTCATTATTTTATCTAATATATCAGATAAAAAATTTTTACTTAATTTATTGTCTAGATTTTGAATAGAAAAATATCTAATATGTGACAATTATGAGCGCAAGAATTCCTGCTTATATATAATTAAGTTTATTCTTTGATCTTTCTAAACAGAATTAATAAAATATATGAATATTTATTATTATTAAAATATATGACATATATTAAAATATATCAATATTTTTTACTATTAATCTAATATTAATGTTTGTATCACGTTTTGAATTTTCAATTTAGACGATCTGTATTTGTCGTATCCAAATGGTATAAATTTCGGTTCTGCTAACCCAAACGGCACTAAGTTTCCTGTTGAAGATATTTCCTTGACGTACAAGCACAACAACCTAATAAAATTAAATAAGTCTGAATTGTCTACAGCATTCCAATTAGGATCTTCGCAAGGGTGAGTAATATTAAAAAATTAATACATAACAATTGTAGGAATCGAATAAATTTCATTATTATAATATTTGTATATTTGACCGACATGTTTGTCCTGTCATGCGTGTTCTCGAAAAGAAAATAGGTAACAGTCCCGCGACCTTCTCAAATAATCAACAGGAATGCTAACCGAAAAGTAATAGCGAGGATACGAAAAACAGAATATATATATCTTCATATGATTTAATCTTTTATCTACAATTCTCATATATATTTAGTGTACATAAAATAATATATAGCACATAATTAAGATCGACCAATCACAGTCAAGTATTTAAAAAAATTCTTAAATGTAATAATTGATTGATTTGCTTGCGACTTTGCGATTACCATTTAGTAAGTTACTAATTATTGTTACTGTTGTATATAAAGGTCATTCCCTAAGGAGAACAGAAGGTCAAAATTATGTCATTTTAACATCATATTGACTAAATATTGACAAAAAAATGACATAAATTTAGTCAATATGACATTATTTTGACTTTCCTGTTCTTCTTGGGTTACATACATTGATGGTAATCGCAAAGTCGCAAGCAAATCGATCAATTATTACATTAAAGAATTTTTTTAAATACTTGACTGTAATTGTGCATAAAATGTAAACTCCTTATATTTAAAATAATGTATAATTATTTTTAAAAAGTAACGACTCGTTACTTTTTGAGTAACTGTAACTGTAACAAGTTATTTTTTAAAATCGGTAACTTGTAACTGTAACTAATTACTTTTCCAATGAAATAACTGTAACTGTAACTAGTTACTTTTACAAAGTAACTTTCCCAACTTTGATATATATATATATATATATATATATCAACATTTTTTTACAATTTGTTTATCACATTTTAACGTATCTGGATTGTATATCATAACATGTGTATTTTTCTCAAGTCATGGACCGCTATTAGAAAAATGGAAGGAATTCCAGAAAACATGGCATACACCAATGTATAATAATTGGGATGTGGCATTCACGAGTGGTTCCCTGGACGCTTGCAATAAAATTTTTGAAATGATACTCGACGAAAATGAGCCAATTTTGCTCCAAACGCTAACATATCCCGGAATACTCGGAGGAGTTAGTATAGTTTTTTAAAATAATATCACGAAAAAGTAACAAGTTTTATAAAAAAAGCTTTTCTTCCAAAAAGAGTGAAACACGCCAAGTATATGAAAATAGTATCTAAACTAGTATGTAACAGAAAAGAAGTTTAAGAAAAATTAAAATATACATGCCTGCGGCGTTCTTCATAAAATGAAAGTTTTTCAATCACCGATAAATGCGTAGCATATAAAATAAAGCTCAAAACAATTATATTATAAACTATGTAATTTATATGTAATATAATATGTAATACAAATAGCTAAAAAAATGCGTTTTTTATTCAATATATCGCAAATTAATTATTAATAATCGGTCAATAAATTATCGTTTTCCGTCCCGAGAAGTTATCAAAAATATATCTTATTTGATAATATCTTACTCAAATACTTATTAATTTAATTTAATAAATTGAACTTATAGTAATTAAAATTGAAATATAGAGCGATTGACATTACAAGAAGATACACAACAAACTATATGCAGTTTTGCATCAAATATAATTGTTTATTTCTTTCGCAGCAGACACATGTGTATTTTGCAAACAAATTCGCAAATTTTATTTTAATTTTTAGCTATTACCATTGTTACCGGATATTATAGAGATTAATCAAGATGCCGATGGAATTATTCCAGAAGAGATCACCAAAGCATGCGAGCAAAGACTTGCGACTGGTAAACCAATGCCAAAAGTGAGTGAAAAAATTTGCAATTTCAAATAAGATATATATATATATATATATATATATATATATATATATATATATTCTTTTCGAAGTCACGTATAGAACAATGAGAAAGTAATTTATTTATCTTCGTCCTTCAATTTTCATCCTTAAATCTTTGTTTGCGAAAGACTTCTCGCTTTTATTTCTAGTTCGAAAACATTGATGTTTTTACCGAAAAAAGACAAATTACAAATTGCTTGAAAAATATGCTTATTGACTCTCTTTATCAAAAATATTTTGATAACATTTTATATACAAAAAAATCCATGAAAGATAAAAATCATCGCTAATAATTAACTATCTGTCAATTGATAATTGAAATTATTTTATTCGCGTGATTGATAAAAAATAGTGTCTTTCTTCTTTCTTTTATCTTACAATATTTCTTTACTTATTTCTATGCTCGATAAAAATGATCATTGTCTCAACACGTGTTGAAACGTTATTTCTATTCATCAAAGACATGTGTAGTTTATTTAATATTTCAGTTACTTTACATTAATCCGACGGGAACGAATCCTACAGGCGCCGTCTTGTCGGAAACCCGGCGAAGGAAAGTGTATGAAGTGGCGCAGAAATACAACTTTCTGATCGTCGAGGCCGATCCTTACTACTTTGTTCACTTCTTGGATAAACAGCCCACGTCGTTTTTCTCCCTCGACACTGACGGTCGCGTGATCAGATTGGACTCGTTTAAAATTATGTTTCCCGGGATTCGCGTCGGAATTGTTACAGCCCACAAAGATATCGTGGAAAAACTAATTATGCATCTTGACAATTCTACCGTACATACGTCAGCTTTGTCTCAAGTAAGACTTTTATCTTCTTTGTCTGTATTACTTGACTGTGATTAATACTATCAATATATTATATTTTTATTATTACCGTATATACCGGGTTCCCGGTGACTCGCGTTTTACATGTTAATGGGAGATTCCTGAAGCGATTTGGAGACGATTTTTCCTCAGTGAAAATGATGAGAAAGATCATTTTTTAATGTTCTCTATTTTTGAAATCATGTATCTATGTAACTAAGCCTTAAATTAAAATTCTATTACAATAAGCTTTACCTGAAATTAACTAAAAAATGTAGTTTTGTTAATAATTTATTTTTACAAGGCTTAGTTTACATAAATAATTTTATCCATGAATTCAAAATGTTCAAAATTAATAATAATATCGAGAGTAAAACATGCATGTTACTGATTACAATGGATAATAATTTATCAAAAAGTAAAAGTTTAAAATGCAAATTATAAATATGAATTATAATTATATATATATATATATATATATATATATATATATACAAAATTATAATTCATATTTATAATTTGCATTTTAAACCTTTATTTTTCGATAAATTATTATCCATTGTAGTCAGTAATATGCATGTTTTACTCTCGATATTATTCTTAATTTTGAACATTATGAATTCATGGATAAAATTATTTTGTTCTATATATGTCATGTTGATTTATAACGATCGGCTGCAGATGCTTGTATACAAACTTTTCCAAGTTTGGGAACCACAGCAATTCGAGGAATATTTCAAAGATATACAAAAGTTCTATCGAGAGCGACGTGATATAATATTAACCCTGGCTGAAAAACACTTAACAGGTCATTCAAAAATTAATTCCAATAATGTGTCAATTAAGATTAAAATAGATCTTATCGGAGATATTTATTACACATTCTAAAATATCAAAATTAGTTCGAAATTATAATTTTATGATCCGCAAATAATATTATATAAATAACAAATAATAAACTGCTTATCTAAACAACGGTTGCTCCAGTTATTATTTATGATTGTACTTATTTTGAAATCTCCGCGCTGAGGACAACAATCATGCGCAAACAGGACGCGCGTACATAATAAAAAATGAGCGTCGAACGATTCATATATCGTAATTGTCATCACAAATTATTGAACATAGAATAAATAAATGCAAAACATTCTGCATTTGCATATCGGTTGTCCCTCGAATTTCAAATTAACTATTACTAAACGTATGTGTCATATCTCTTTCGATAACTCAGTGACTGCAATTCACTGTGCGCTTTTTTTCATCTGAAAGTGATGAATAAATTATATTTAAATACATCCTAAAAACGAGCACTGAATTTTAGCCGCTTCAATAATTTCAACGAGATTTTATTTTACAAAATCATTAATTATTCAAGAACTAACTTTTGATATTAAAAATGTTTTAATATTTTTTTACTTAATATTCCAAATAAACCGATTAATAAATATTATATAATATTTATATAGTATTATATTATATAAATATTTTTTGAAAATATCCTGTCTACATCCCTTACTTTATATTAAGAACTTCCAAAGTAATTTTAAAATATTCATATGCTCAATTAATATACCTTAGGTTTGGCAGAATGGTACGTGCCAGAGGGTGGATTCTTTCTTTGGGTAAAACTTTTTGCTATAGATAATGCATTGGATTTAGTGATAAACAAATTCGTGCCCCAAGGTGTTTTCGCTATTCCTGGAAATGCCTTCAATTGCGATCCTTCAAAACCTTCAAAACACTTAAGATTCTGCTTTAGCTTTTCCTCGCCGGAGGAAATGGACAAGGTAAGTTACAAAGGTATTGAATCTATTTTATTGATTTTGTCACACACAACGCATACATATACACATATACATATATACATGCGTATACATGCGCGAATTACAGATATTCACATATATGTTACATATTATATAAATTGTGTTAAATTACAAGTATTAGCGGAATATTAAATTACAAGTATTTTAAAATAGAGATTCATTTATTATTAAACGTTAGATTTGATTAATGTTATCTCGGAGCTTATTCTTATTCTTTGATTCAATAATTTTAAATTCAAACAGTACATAATAACAAAATATATTTGACTATAAGTATTGTCGAAATATTGTATTATGACATACTTATGTACATGTAATAAATACGTGGAATATTAAATTGTACAACCATTTTAAAATAATTAATCGCACAATATACATAATTATACTAATTATAAGAATTATGCAGAATGATAGAATTTTTCATAATAGTACGCATGATGATATGATAAAATGGAGCGCGACTAGCAATAACGAGGCAATCAAATGTAACGCACCGATTATTTTATGTGCATCTTACAACCGCATAAAATATTTCGGTAATGCATATTATCAATAGCAGGCTATATAATCTTGGTATCGTTTAGCGCGCTATTATGTTTGAGTGCATCGGCTCTGTTATTCATGCGCCGACACTCAAATAGATAAGTATAGAGATGCGAGACGTCCCGTCATATTCCTTTTCTAAAAGCGATCGCGAATCAGTATTAGATTGACAATTCATGTATAATTTATATGGTTAATATATAATTCTATCGGGACGATGAATCCCGAAACGCATTTTAATTTATTCATTTAATCAAATAAGAATCAAAGTGACAGGTATCTAAATTAGAAATAATCGCTTTGTCATGGTTTTTTTTAGACAATAATTATTTAAAAATGTCGACTCAAAGTCGAATATATTTCGACCGATGTTTTATCGTTAGACTTTTCGACGATCTAAATGTAAGTCGAAATGAGAGTGCGCAGTAAAACGATTGAATCGAATTAATAAAGACACGTTTCATGATACATTAATCGTCTAATATCTAATAAATAATTAATATATACATTTTAAAATGTTTGTATAATTTAATATATCCGCATATGTATATTAATCGTCTAATAAATATATTAATGTGTATACTTTAAAATGCTTATATAATAATATTCTGTATATATAGTCATAGAAAAAATAACGCATGAGAATAATATATCAATAACATTTAAGAAAATTGAATATATTAATATTTTCTATCATTTTTCAGGGAATGATCTTAGTGGCAAAGATTATACGTGAAGAAGCAGCGAAGAAAAATGATAATGTTTCAAAGTAATGTAAGAAATATTACTTTTCTGAGCATGATTTAATATCCTGCCGTGCTCGTATATACAAACAGAATGCTCTATTATGCTATAATTTAAAGCATTAATTTCAAAACGTTTCGTAACTAAACAAAGTGACGTAGCATTAAATGGTATGATGTTAACTAACAACTTTTTTATCTCATATATTTTTAATTGCCAAGATAAGGTCGTGAGTTCTCAAGCTGTAAATATTTGTAAGTGGTCTTATCGTAAGCTGATATGATAGGACTCTTCATAAGTAGTATGTAAATTGTCAGTCGAATCAGTATGCAATAGTACTCGGATCTCGGCGGAAGAGTAAATGTAATTGTGTAATATTTACCGCACGTGATATAATATCATTATGGATTACAATAAATTCTATTCTAAAATCACCAGTAGACGAAGTTATAATGTAATTAGACGATTGAGTAAGTTATCATTGCATTCTTTATTTTCTATGTGTTTTCATTTCCCTACTCAAAGCCGAAACGGAAACATATAAAAATGTTTCTTTCTGATTTTACACTTTTAAAGCAAAAGTAAGATAATAGACGTTAATAAAAGAAACAAGGTTTTTGTAATTAATAATTGTACTTTCTCGTATTTTAATAAAAATTAAAAATTAAAACTTGTTATATTTACATCATTTATAATAAATATATATTGTTGAGATATAAGTAGAAAATGTTCTTAAAAATGTTTGTGGTATTTAATACGCTCTTTATAATTGTATATATTTAAATTTTTCAGAAATAAACTTTTTATAAAACAAAATTTAAATAAATAAGAATAGAGGTGATATATGTTTTCTAGGTGTGATATGTTTTCTGATTTGACGTTATATAATCATTTTTTATGTGGGATAGGTAAAAACACATTAATAAAGAAATCTAATCTCTTACGAGTTAAAAAAATGGTTCATGACATTTTATTATTTTATCTTATCTAACAGATATCAAATTTTTATTTAAAAATATATATTTTTCCACTCAAATATATATTTTTTCACTCAGATAAGATATATCTAATATGTGATATAATTATGGTCGCAAGGATTCCTGTTTAATTAAGTTTATTTTTAAACAGAATTACTGAAATATATGGATATTTTTATTATTAGTCTAATGTTAATATTTGCATCACATTTTATGTTTCAATTTAGACGATCTCTATATGTCAGTTCCAAATGGTATAAATTTCGCTTCTGGATTGCCAAACGTCGCTACGTTTCCTATTCAAGATATTTCCTTGATATACAAGCACAACAACCTAATAAAATTTAATAAGCCTGAATTGTCTACAGCACTACAATACGGATCTTCGCAAGGGTAAATAATATTAAAAAATTAATACATAATATAATATAGTATTTAGTAATTAAAAGAATTATTTTTGAGATATAATGAATAATTGATTTTGATTAAATATTAAATTTTTTATGCTTAATATAAGCATTCTAACTAAGCTAATATTTTGTTCAATATTATATTTTTACGTAGTAAAAAAATTTAAATTTATTGTAATTTATTGAAAATTGCTATATTTATAGCAAAATTTCAATAATTATTAAACCAAAAAGTACCACACACGTAGTTATATCACAATGCATTAAAATATAATAAAAATAAGAATATATGCTTAAATTCAGTGAGATTGATATATAATTCAAGATTCAATGGATTGTATTATGATTTAAAATTATAATTCTTTTAAAATGTATAAACTAAATTTTAGATAAATTAAAATTATTAAGTTTTTATATTTTATATTTATTTTCTTTTTCTTTCTTACTTTTTAATAGTTATTTTTTCTTCATCTTTAGTAAAAACTGTTTCTAATTTATGTAATAATAATATTATATATATCGACATTTTTTATAATTTGTTAATCACATTTTAACGTATTTGAATTGTATATCTACACACGTGTATTTTTCTCAAGTAATGGACTGCTATTGGAAAACTGGAGGGAATTTCAGAAAACATGGCATACACCAATGAATAATAATTGGGATGTCGCACTCACGAGCGGTTCCCTGGACGCTTGCAATAAGATCTTGAAATGATGCTCGACGAAAATGAGCCAATTTTGCTCCAAGCGCCAACATACACCGGAGTACTCGGAGCGGTTAGTATAGTTTTCTAAAATAATATCACAAAAAAGTAACAAGTTTTAATAAAAACTTTTCTACCAAAAAGAGTGAAACACACGCCAAGTACGTAAGAATAGTATCTAAACTTCTATGTAACAGATAGAAGTTTAAGAAACAAAAAATTGAGATCTACTTATACATATGTACCTGGCGTTCTTTATAAAATAAAAGTTTTTCACTCACTGGTAGATGCGCAGCAGCAAAATCGACTTGATTTATGTATAACAAAAATATAAAAGATTCAAATTATAACACCCAAAATAATTAATATTTCATAAAGTTATTAAAAATACGCATCGACTTTTATATTCGATGCGTATATATAATAATGAACGGATAAAATAATATATATTTTATTATATAATAAATACATTATATTAAATAATATAATATTAGATTATCTTAAATAATAGATTTCATTATATATGTATATTCCGAAAAAAACTATTATGCTTTACATATACAGATATCATATGCATATAAAAATGTTTCTCTCATTCTTACTCGAGTTATCTAAAAGAACGAATCAACTAAACGCGCACGCGGAATATAAACTCGCAAAAACATAATTTATTACTGTCATTATGCGACACTATAAGAATTTATACGCAACATTTTTCACGACACTTCCGCGATCGTAAAATAATATCTAGTGAAAATTATACTTGGAGTCTGCGAGGTAATTTCAAGGATCTCAATTATAAGGATTAAATTTGAAGCGAAAAAAAATGAAATCGATAGTTCGCGAATGCTCGCTCCAATTCTTCTCAAAATGACTCAAACTCACTTATTAATTAGACACAGTTCATTATGATATCATAGACGCGACGAGGAAGAAGGATATTCATTTCCAACAAGGTTTCCATTTAAGGTATCAACTTCTCGTCACGCACAGAAATTGTGCTAAATTATCCAGTTCACTGAAGCGAGACATGTTATATGTCCTCAAAGTGTAGGAAAACAAGTCATGTTTGACAGGTTACACATGATATGACGACAGCATTTGTATATGTGTAAATATGACAAGAGAAGAGAGAATCAAACGATGAAGATCCTATCCTGCTCTTCGGACGCATCAGCATCTCATTAAACATGGTTCAGCAATGTTCAATAAGATATCCAATTCCATTATCGTCGGAATTAAGTTGACTCTCGGTGACAATTATAAATGAGATAACGTAAGAGATTGCGGAAAGATAGAACAAACCAGCACATTAAAAACCAGTGTATTATTCAGGGTGAACTCGACGCATCATATGCAATATAAATAGCCAAATTTATGGGTTTTATTCAATATACTGCAAATTAATAATTAAAAAATAGTCAATAAATTATCATTTTCCGCTCCGAAAGATTATCAAAAATATTTATGATTTAATAATCATGCTCGAATACTTATTAATTTAATTTAATAAATTGAACTTTTAATAACTAAAATTGAAATACAAAGCGATTGACATTACAAGAAGATACACAACAAACTATATGCAGTTTTACATCAAATATATTTATTTATATAAAGAATATAATTATTAGTTCAACTATTAATCTGTTATTTCTTTCGCAGCAGACACATGTGTATTCTGCAGACAAATTCTCAAATTTTATTTTAACTTTTAGCTATCACCGTTGTTACCGGATGTTATAGAGATTAATCAAGATGCCGATGGAATTATTCCCGAAGAGATCACCAAAGCATGCGAGCAAAGACTTGCGACTGGTAAACCAATGCCAAAAGTGAGTCAGAAAATTTGCAATATCAAATAAGATAAATATATATATTTCTTTCGAAGTCACGTAAAAAACAATGAGAAAGTAATTTATTTATCTTCGTCCTTCAATTTTTATTCCTAAATCTTTATCCGCGAAAAACTTCTCGCTTTTGACGTTTCCACCGAGAAGAGATCAATTACAAATTACTCGAATAATGTGCTTATTGATTTATCGAAAACATTTTGAATACAAAGATTCGTAAAAGATAAAAATCACCGCTAACAACTCAATTCAATTATCTATCTATTAATTGATAATTGAATTATTTGCGTAGTTGATAATAGTGTTTCTTTGTCTTTCTTTTATCTTTATTTTTTTTATTTATTTTCATGCTTAATTAAAATTATTATTAACTCAATATTGGAACATTATTTCTATTCATCAAAGATATACATTGTTTTTCTGAATCTTTCAGTTACTTTACGTTAATCAACGGGAGGAAATCCTACAGGCACCGTTTTGTCGGAAACTCGACGAAGGAAAGTATATGAATTGGCGCAGAAATACAACTTTCTGATCGTCGAGGACGACCCTTACTGCTTCGTTCACTTCTTAGATAAACAGCCCACGTCGTTTTTCTCCCTCGACACTGACGGTCGCGTAATCAGAATGGATTCGTTTAGCAAGATTATGAGCGCTGGGATTCGCGTCGGAGTTGTTACAGCCCACAAAGATATAGTGCAAAAATTAATAATGCATATGGACAATTCTGTCATACATGCGTCATCTTGTCTCAAGTAAGACTTTTATTCTTTTTGTCTGTATTACTTGATTGTGATTAATACTATCACTATATAATATTTTTATTATTACCACATATGTGTATATTTAAATATAATTTATAATATAATATATAATATATATATATATATATAATGTTATAAAATATATTACAAATATATACAAATGTACATATAATATAATATAAAAATATTTATTTATATAATGAAATAATTTTTAACGACCCAACTGGCATAAAAATATCTTTATTGTTGGTCAGTTGACGTTTTACCATCTTGTCGTAAAGTCGTATTGACACAATTATTTTATATGTGCTTTAATAAGTTTAAAGTTATTTATTTAATTTATGTCAGGTATGTTTTAATTGTTTATATACGGTTTAATGAGCTTTATTTTTTGGTTTGTTTTGCGGTTTATGTAATATTTTAATGACTATTAATAAATTGTCGTTCTATGATTTATATTATTTCGTAATAGATATATATTTTTTGTTGTAAGTTTAGACTTGAAAGAATCCAAAACAAG